GCAAAAGTCCACAGCTCAGCCCACCTTTCTCTTCACCTTCTCTGTTTGTTCCCCAGCCACCATGCACAGTCCTCCATGCAGTCCCTGGCTAGCAGGGTGGGTGAGTTGATTTTTGACTCATAATAATTCTGTGTGACAGAGTAGAACTGTCCCATAGGATTTTCTAGGCTGTAATTGTTACAGGGACAGATTGCCAGTCATTCTACTGTGGAACTGCTGAGTGGGTTTGAACTGTTAACCTTTTGGTTAGCAATCGAGCACTTAACTGTTGCTCCACCAGGACTCCTTGCCATTGTTCCACTGCTGTCGTTGAGTAAATTCCAACTTAAAGCTACCCTGTAAGACAAATATGATCTTGATTATATCCCCCCTGAATTTAGAGAACATCTAAAGAATAGATTTGATGCCTGGAACACCAGTGACTGAAAGCCAGAAGAATTGTGGGATGACATCAACAGCATCATCCGTGAAGAAAACAAGAGGTCATAAAAAGAAGAGAAGACTAAAATGGATGACAGAAGAGACTCTGAAACTTGCCATTGAGTGGAGAGTAGCTAAAGCAAATGGAAGAAATGACAAGATAACAGAATTGAGCTGATGATTTCAAAGAGCAGCTCGAGAAGACAAAGCCAATTACTATAATGAGATGTGCAAAGACCTGGAGTTAGAAAACCAGAAGGGAAGAACACGGTCAGCATTTCTCAAGTTGAAAGAATTGAGGAAAAAATTTAAGCCTTGAGTTGCAATATTGAAAGATTCTACAGGTTAAATATTGAATGATGCAGGAAACATCAAAAGAAGATGGAAGGAATACACAGAATCACTGTACCAAACAGAACGGTCAATCTTCATCCATTTCAGGAGGTGGCATATGATCTAGAACCAATGGTACTGAAGGAGGAAGTTGAAGCTGCAGTGAAGGAATTGGCGAAGCATAAGACTCCGGGAATTGACGGAATACCCACTGAGATATTTCAACAAACGGATGCCGCACTGGAGGCACTCATCCAGTTATGCCAAGATTTTTGGAATACAGCTACCTGGCCAACTGACTGGAAGAGATCCATATTTGTACCCATTCCAAAGAAAGGTGATCCCACAGAATGTGGAAATAATCGAACAATATCAGGAATATTGCTTGCAAGTAAGAGCTTACTGAAGATAATTTGAAAATGTTTGCAGCAGTATGCTGACAGAGAACTTCCAGAGGTTCAAGCTGGATTCAGAAGAGGACGTGGAACAAGGGATATTATTATTGCTGTCCAATGGATCTTGGCTCAAGGCAAAGAATACCAGAAAGATGTTTACTTGTGTTTTATTGATTATGCAAAGGCATTTGATCATATGGATCATGAAAAATTATGGATAACATTGAGAAGAATGGGAATTCTTGAACACTTGATTGTACTCATGAGGAACCTGTACATTGACCAGGAGGCTGTTGTTGAACAGAACAAGGGGACACTACATGGTTTGAAATCAAGAAGGGAGCGCGTCAGGGTTGTATCCTTTCCCCATACTTATTCAATCTATATGCTGAACAAATAATCTGAGAAGCTGGACTATATTAAGAAAAACGTGGCATCAGGATTTGTGGAAGAATCATTAGCAATCTGAAATACGCTGATGATACAACTTCGCTTTCTGAAAGTGAGGATGACTTGAGGCATTTACTGATGAGGACTGAAGAATAAAGTCTGCAGTATGGATTACATCTCAATATAAAGAAAACAAAAATCCTCACAACTGGACCAATAAGCAGCATCATGATAAATGGAAAAAAGATTGAGGTTGTCAAAGAATTCACATTGCTTGGTTCTACAATCGACGCCAATGGAAGCAGCAGTCAGGACATTAGACGACGTGTAGAACCGGGCAGGTCAGCTGCAAAGGAGCTCTTTCAAGTGCTGAGGAGCAAGGATGTCTCCTTGAGGACTAAGGTATGCCTGACACGAGCCATGATATTTCCAGTTGCCTCGTATGCATGTTGTGAGCTGGACAATGAATAAGGAAGACCGAAGAGTTGATGCTTTTGAGTTGTGGTGCTGGCGAAGAATGGTGAAAGTACCATGGACTGCTAAAAGAACTAACAAATCTGTCTGGAGGAAGTGCAGCTGAAATGCTCTCTGGAAGTGAGAATGGCCAGACTTTGTTTCACCTACTTTGGTCATGTTTCAGAAGGGACCATTCCTTGGAGAAGGATGTCTTGCTTGGTAAGGTGGAGGGTCGACGAAAGAGGGGAAGACCTTCAACAAGGTGGATTGACATGGTGGCTGTGACAGTGGGCCCAAGTATAGCAAGGATCATAGAGCTGGCGCAGGATCGGGCAGTGTTTCGTTCTGCTTTACGTGAGTCGCTATGAGTCGGAAATGACTTGACGCCACCTAACAACAACAGCTTCATTAGGTTCTCCAGTGAAAAAACTTCCATGCCATTGGTAGTGATGCTGGAAGAAAAAGAAATTGTGTTGGGCTATCTGAGAGACTGTATATCGGACTCCAAGATGGTGTGTGTCTTCCTAATGGATTTGCATAGGTAGTTAGGATTCTGCTTAGTTTTTGCCCAAGTAATGACTTTAGAACTCAAATTCTACCTAAGATGTCAGTTCACTGTTGGGTAATCTGGACAGGATTGGAATTGGGAATAAGTCTGCAGGATTGTTTTCAGTTCTTCACTGTTAATAACATTTGTCTAAAGTTTGTTTTTATGATGGATTAATGGCAGAAATTTCCTTTGCCGCAGTTGTTGTGTTGTTGTGTTTGTAGTATTAGGGTTATCCCACTAGGGACTGAAAGTAACTTTCCCCTCTGCTTGTTCTTGGTCATTTAGTAAGTATCCTAGTACTGTGTCAGGGTGTGGTCATACATGCTGGGTGGGGAATGGGAGATGAGTGAATGGTGCTAGACTTAAGGAGGCCTTCCCTACATCTCCCATCAAACCAACTCTTATTTTTTATATTTGGTTTGTAAAGATTTCTTTTGAAAAAAAGGTTAAGATTTTCTTTTTTAACTTTTTTTTTTTTTTTAAATTGTGATTTGGGTGAAGATTACAGAGCAAATACACTTTCCATACAGCAGTACACATATACTTTGTCTCATGTCATTGACCACAGTTTACCACAATGCAACAGCTCCCCTCCCACGTCCTCCCCATAGATACCTCTTCCCAGTGTCCATCCCTCCATACATTCCTGCCCCCTGAGCTGTCTCCCTGTGCATAATAAGCAGCCCTTCTTTCTCCCATGATTGTTCTCTCCAAGGAGTGTATCTACTTGAGGTAAATGTTTAACTCATATGCCTGTCTTTTGTTTGGCTGGAAACCACAGGTGTGGGTTCAATTCCAGACCTGAAGGGCAGCTAGGGGGCATAGTCTCAGTGGTTCCACCAGGCTATCAGACCAGCAAACCTGGTCCCCCCAAAAAAGTTAAGATTTATTGCTAAAACAGTTTGAAAATGATAGTATAGTATGTATATAATATATATAGTAGAAAATCTGTTTATGTCAAGGCTGACTTCGTCTTTTTAGGAAATAGTACATTTTCTTTTATTTATCCAATACATAAAACTTTATATATGAAACTATATATGTTATATAGATATGTTTTAATATGGGAATATAAGATGATTTTTTTGTGATAAGAATATTCAGCTTTTGATTTCCATTATATTTTGGAAGGCAGCTATGCTAACCACTATACCACCAACACTTCGGCTATATTATGGTACTATATAGTTTTTCAGTTTTCACTTGTTACATTTGTAATTTACTTTTTTCTAGGCTTCCAACAGACCACACATCTCTCTTCTTATGAAATTATAACTCCTTGGAGGTTAACTAGAGAACGGAGAGAAGCACCTAGGCCCAATTCAAAACAAGTAAGTTATAGCTTGAGGAAACTATGTGTGCTTAAATTTTGTTATTATTTTTTGTGAGCACTGGTTGTTATTTTCAGTAGTGATTGATTCAGTTCTTATTTTGTTAATGTTAGCCAATGATTAGTATAATACCACATGACATTGATGTTCACTGGATACTATCCTAGAAAAAGAAGCATATTGATCCTTAGTATCTTTGTTCTTAAGACAAAATGCTCGGCTTGAAACATAATAGAATGAAATAGTTAATAAATAAAATCCTAATCAGGGTAGGATGCTGATTTTGTAGATTTCTAACACTTAACAGTGGTTTTGCTGTAATAGTCAAATTAACCTCACTCAATTTGTGAAAGAATGCTTTATCTCCACATACTCTGGAGAAAAGTAATATGTTATGTGCATGTATTTCTTATGTGGGAATGTTTATTCAAAAATGAGTTTTACCTTTACATTAGAACAAATTTACTGTGTTCTCAATGGAGTAACCAATGTAGAAAATGTATTTTTTCCACTGTTTTTGCATATTGTATTGTAAAATTTGTTGAGAAATAATATATTTATAATTTAATATGTATGCTTTTTAATCATTTGCATTGCAGATAATGAAGGATACATTTTAACTTATTACCTCTGAATTGCTGATATACTCATAAATATGAGGTGGCTTGCAAGTTGTTAAACTAGGTCACAGGCATTAGCCTGGCATGGTCATTTATTACATACTTTTTCAAAGTCTTGTATAATTTCTTATACAAGTTCATACTTCCTCTTGTAAATTCTTTCTTTTTTTTTTTTGCTAATGTCTTTTTTTTTTAATTGTGATTTGGGTGAAAGTTTACAGAGCAAATTTACTTTCCATACAGTAGCTCACTTAACTTTGTCTCATAACATTGACTACAGTTTACCACAACACAACAGCTCTGCTCCCACTTCCTCCCTATAGTTACCTCTTCCCTGTGTCTGTCCCTTCATGCACTCCTGCCCCCTGAGGTGTCTCCCTGAGCGTACACAGCCCTTCTGTTTTCCGATGATTGTTCTCTCCAAGGAGTGTATCTGCCTAATGTAAATGTTCACCTCATATACCTGTCTTTCGTTTGGCTAGAAGCCACAGAAGTGGATTCATTTCCTTACCTGATGGGCAGCTAGGGGCCATAGTCTCAGTGGTTCCATCAGGCTCTATCAGACCTGGTCCCTGTTTCTTTAAAAATGACTTGGAGTTTGTTCCACATTGTTCTTCCACTCTATCTAGGATCTCCTACATAGATCTATCTGCCTCTGAGTGGTTGACATTGGTAGCCAGGAACCATCTAGTTCTTCTGGTCTCCTAGTCATATAGGCTGAGGATCAAATGGTTTACCACTCGCTTGGATTAATTGTTTCCATGCATCTTTCGTTTTCTTCATTCTTCTTTGCTCTGGCTGAGGAGAGACCCATTGTTGTTGCATCTAGATGGCCACTTGCTAAAGCTTTTAAGATCCTAGTCACTACTCACCAAAATAGGATGTGGAACAATGTTTTTCTGTAGTATTTTATGCCAGTTGAGCTTGATGTCCCCTGTGACAGTGGTCCTGAGCCCACAGGTCCAACTGTTTGCTCTCTCTGGGTAACTGTGACCAAGAAGTGACTACAACCTTGTGCCTTGTCAGCTCTACTATATACCTGGGACTTCTTACTGAACATACAAATACACTTGTAGAAACATTGTCTGCCAGCCCTGCACATGGTCTTGGGCATACTCTCCCCCCTGCATAGACATACCTAATAGTAGTACTGTATATGCAAAAGGGTTCATCTTTGTTGTCTGTACCTCCCATGTACCTATCTATGTCTTCTTCTTCAGTGCTACTGTGTTGATCACTCACATTTGGTACATTGCCCTTCTCTTCACCCAAATCAGTACTTGTCTCTACCTATCTAACAGTGTTCCCTCCCCTCCCTTCCTACCCCTGATAATGAACAATGAAAATTTCCTTTTGTATATAAACCTTTCCTCAACTTTTTACAATAACAGACTAATACAATATTTGTCCTTCTGTGATTGATTTATTTCACTCAGCATAATGTCCTCCAAGTTCATCCATATTATGCGGTGTTTTGCAGATTCTGCGTTACTCTTTAGGGTTGCATAGTATTCCATTGTGTTTATGTACCATAGTTTGGTTATCCATTCTTCAGTTGATGGACACCTAGGTTGTTTCCATCTTTTGGCTGTTGTAAACAGTGCTGCGATGAACATGGGTGTGCATATATCTGTTCTTGTCCTGGTTCTCACTTCTTTAGGATATATACCAAGTAATGGAATGGGTGAGTCAAATGGTATTTCTAATTCCAACTTTTGAAGGAACTGCCATACTGCTTTCCACAGTGGTTGTACCATTTTACAGAACCACCAGCAGTGTGTGAGAGTCCCAATTTCTCCACATCCTCCCCAGCATTTGTTATTTTCTGTCTTGTTGAACTTTGCTACTAGTGCTGGAGCAAGATGGTTGTTGTTTTGATTTGCATCTCTATAATGCTAATAATAGTGAGCATTTCTTTGTGTTTGTTGGCTGCCTGAATATCCTTTTTGGTGAAGTGTCTATTTACATCTTCTGCCCATTTTTTAATTGGATTATTTGTCTTTTTGTTGAGGTGTTGGAGCTTTCTATAAATTCTGTAGATAAGACCCTTGTCAGATATGTGATTGCCGAATATTTTTTCCAATCTGTAGGTTCTTTTTTGACTCTTTTGGAGAAGTCTTTGGAAGCACATAAAAATTTAATTTTTAGAAGGGCCCATTCATCTAGTTTCTCTTCTGCTGTTTGTGCATTTTGGATTATGCTTGATAGTATATTTATCCCATGCACTGCCATCGAGTTGGATCCGACTCATAATGACCCTTCTTTGGGTTTCTGAGGTGGTATCACTACAGAAGTAGATTGCGCAGCCTTCCTTGTGAAGAGTGGCTGGTGGGTTTGAACCAACAGTCTTTTGGTTAGCAGTCAGATGCTACACCACCAGACCTCCCATGCCGTATATTAGGGCCCCTAAATTTGCCCCTATTTTTTCCTTGAGGAACTTTATAGTTTTAGGTTTCACATTTAAGGCTTTAATCCATCTGGAATTAGTTTTGGTCTATGGTGTGAGGTACAGATTTTGTTTTATTTTTCTGCAAATGGATACCCAGTTTTGCCAGCACCATTTATTAAACAGACAGTCTCTTCCCCATTTAATGGATTTTGGCCCTTTGTCAAAGATCAGCTGACCATAGGTCGATGGATCTATTTCTGGGTTTTCAGTTCTGTTCACTGGTCCATGTGTCTGTCATTTTACCAATGCCAGGCAGTTTTGACTACTGTGACTGTATAGTAGGTTTTGAGATCCAGCAGTGTGAGACCTCCTACTTTGTTTTTCTTCTTCAGTAATGCTTTGCTTATCCGAGGTCTCTTTCCTTTCCATCTAAAGTTAGTGATTGATTTTTCCATATCCTTAAAGAATGTTGATGGGATCTGGATTGGGATTGTATTGAATGTATAGATTGCTTTGGGTAGAATTGACATTTTCACAATGTTCAATCTTCCTATCCATGAGCATGGTATGTTCTTCCATTTATGTAGATTTCTTTTGCTTTCTTGAAGTAGTCTTTTATAGTTTTCTTTGTAAAGGTCTTTTGTGTCCCTGGTAAGATTTTTATTTTTTTGGTAGCTGTTGTAAGTGGTCTTGATTTCCTTATTTCCTTTTCAGCAATCTCTTTGCTGGTGTAGAGGAATCCAGCTGATTTTTGGATGTTGATCTTGTAGCTAATGTCTTTTAAACTTGGATACGGATTGGGCAGTGCTAAAACAAACAAACAAACCAAAAATCCCCAAAACCACTGGAATTGGGAACTTTTAGTTTGAGTTCCCCCTGTGCCACTAACTTCATAGGTCATTCAACTCCCTTTACTCGTCTGTAAGTGAGGAGTAAGTAACTCTTTTTTTTTTTTTTAGTTTTTATTGTGATTTGGGTGAAAATTTACAGAGCAAATTCATTCCATACAGCAGCACACAAACACTTTGTGTCATGACATTGACTGAAGTTTCCCACAATGCAACAGCTCCCCTCCCACTTCCTCCCTGTAGTTTACCTCTTCCTGTGTCCTTCACTCCCATGCACTCCTGCCCCCCTGAGCTATCTCCTTGTGCATACCCAGCCCTCTATTCTTCCATGATTGAAATCGAGGAGTAAATAATTCCTAAGTTTCTCATCTGGCAGAGCTATTTATAATTTTTCCTCATTTTTGGTTTGAATTGGACAGCCTGCCATTTGATTACATTTTGCTTTGTTGTTGTTTTTGGTGCTATTGAGTTGGTTCTGACTCATAGTGACCCTGTGCACAACAGAACGAAACACTGCCCAGCTCTATGCCATTCTCATGGTCATTGGTATTTTTGAGCCCAATATTAGAGCCACTATCAGTCCATTGCCTTGAGGGTCCTCCTCTTTTTCGCTGACCTTCTACTTTACCAAACAATGTCCTTCTGCAGGGACTGGTCCCGCCTGATACCATGGCCAAAGTATGCAAGACCAAGTCTTGCCGTCCTCCCTTCTAAGGAGCATTCTGGCTATACTTCTTGTAAGATTTATTTGTTCTTTTGGAAATCCATGGTATACTTATATTCTTCATCAGCACCCTAATTCAGAGACATCAACTTTCATGTGTATATGAGGTGACTGGAAATACCATGACTTTGGGTCCAGCCCACTTAGCCCTCAAAGTGACATCTTTGCTTTTTAAAAGTTTAAAGAGGTCTTTTACAACAGATTTGCAAAATTTAGTATGTTGTTTGATTTCTTGACTGCTGCTTGCATAGGCATTAATTGTGAATCCAAGTTAAATGAAATCCTTGACAACTGAAGTCTTTTTTCTATTTGTCATGATGTTGCTTATTGGTTCAGTTGTGAGATTTTTTGTTTCTTTATGTTGAGTTGTAATCCATACTGAAGACTATGGTCTTTGATCTACATCTGTAAGTGCTTCA